TTAAATTTTAGGAAATATGATCAAGTATTTAAAAAAAAATTCTTGCCCCCTAAACAAAACAAATATACTACTTGCAGATGGTCAGTAACAGGAACTAACAAACTCTGGAGCCAGAACACCAGAGTTTGAATTCTGGATTCCACTTGCAAGCTACGAAACTTCATGTAAATCATTCTACACACTGTGCCTCGGTGCCCTCAGGATACGGTAAGAACACAAAGGTAACAATTTCATATGCTTTCTAAGGGTGAAATTAAAAGTTTCATGAATATGGTGTCTGGTATTAAATTACTAAATTCTCTGTATTTGTTTATTGAAAAGAGGGTGCTTGGTCTGATCAGTAACTATAATCCTGATAAAGTGAATTAAAGCTTAGCTCTAGGTTTACCCCACTAGAAATAATATTCTTTAAGATACAGTAAATAATAGGAAGTCAGAAAGTTGGTCTTTCTCAAAAAAACTATTTTATACAAGCAATACACAATTACATGTACATTTTAAAGAATCAAATGAGGGTAATCCACTCGGGACCCCTTCTGTCTTTCTCTCAGACAGCTTTGTTTCTCTCAGTAAGTATTCTGCTCTTTAAAAAAAAGATAAAAATAAACAATCAAATGATTCAAAACTATGGAAATAACATGTAATGTTTTGCAGCAGTCATCTAACACTATTCCTTTTATTTTTGATAAATTTACAACATGCTTCTAGTAATTTTTTTCCCTCTCTCTTTGAGATAGGGTTTGCTATGTAGTTCAGGCTGGCCTCAAACTCACAGCAATTCTCCTTCCTCTGCCTCCTGAGTGTTCAGATCATAGGCACACACCAACATGCCTTCCCTGCTAGCAACTTTTTTTTGGTACCGGGGATCAAACTCATGACCTTACGCTTGCCAGACAGGCACTGAGGAGCCAAATCCCCAGCTCTCCTTCTAGTACTTTTAAAATGTATTTTTACACAAAATTTTAAAGAAAAAAAAAAAAATCACTAAACTTTGTTATGTGACCATGAATAAAAACTCTGATTCTTAATTTTATATTTTCTTTAAACTTCAATACTGAAAATTGTTTTACTTTGGTTAAATGCAGCATTTGCAGACTAAATGTGGTGTTTTTGTAAGTGTTATTTTTCTCAAGATTGACGCAAAAGCCGATAATCAAATGTACACGGCTGGCTAAGCTATTCCCTTCTCCCTTCAGCTGCATCTCAGCAATGTAAATAGAACTAGCTGAAGTAATGGCCTGTCTCCCTAAATCTTTGTGCCCCATGGGCTGCAGAGTCAAGCTCCAGGGAGGTTCACTGGGCTCCTATCTTGAGAAAAGAGACTATGACCTCCCCAGGGCAGAAAAGGTTTACATACCAGAGCTGAGGCACCTGGCCCTAAACACTAACTGCAGCCTCAGTTGTGTTATGCAGATTGGTCTATCTGCCTACCCTTGTCTCTGCATACTGCAGAGATGCCTTCTGGTCTCCTAGCTAGCCCAGCTCACAGTACTCACATAATTCCTACCATTCTCACAGTCACTCATCCTTAGCTACTCCCTTCTTCAGGAATTAATAAAATCAGGGTTAGGAGAGCCAGGCGTGGTGGCTCACGCCTGTAATTCCAGCTCTCGTGAGGCTGAGGTGGGAGGATCGTTGCAAGTTCCAGACCAGCCTGGGCTACAAAGTGAGCTCAAGGCCAGCCTGAACTGCATAGTGAGACCCCATTTCAAAAAAGACCAAAAAAAAAAAAAAAAAAAAAAATCGGGGTTAGGCCCAGGGTTGAGGTCTTTGTTCCATGAAGCCTTGTCTGGACCAGACTCCAGATCCCTTGGCTTCCCTTAATTGTAAATAGGTCCGTCTTTACTGTCTTTATTCTCATAGTGGGTTGCACTGGAAGTGGTGGATTGGAATTAACTCCCCAGATTCCAGTAACATTTCCATGAGATTACAAATACAAACTTCGCAGACTGTGACAAGGACAGTAAAGGGTCTCTACAGTTTGTAACTTCAATTTTTAAAATTTTTTTCAATTTTTTTGTTTGAAGAACAAAGTCCATAAACTGGCCAAAACTCCCAAATTACAGCGCATTACTTGAATATTGTCTTTTTACTGAGAGAACATTCGTCAGCCGACAGTACTCAGGAGATTAGAGCAAACTAAGACCCAGGTAACAATCTGAAATTCAAAAGTCTCTGAGAATTCCCATTTGTGTAGCCAGATGTGCAAGTGAAAATTAACTTATTTTGTTTGACAAAGATTAATGTATCCAATTCAGTACAATCTCTTAGTAAATCTAATGGCCTTGAGTAGTTAGAAACCCCAAAGAGAAAACATTCTATGATTTTTCCATTTGGTCAAAGGAAATAATCCAGAATACAAAATTCCAGAGTATGGACTAATGCAATTTGTTGACCAAGATAATTCTTAAAAGATGTGCTAATTTCAGTTTTTAAAAACTTTTTAACTGAGGTGTGGTCATGGATGCCCCTAACCTCAGCAGTCAGCTGAGGTAGAAGAACTGCCTGGAGTTGAGGGTCAGCCTGAACCACATCCAGGGCCTGTCTCAAAATAAGAAAAAAAGAAAAAAAAAAAAAAAACAAAAAACCAAAAAAAAAAAAACACCACTTGCCAGGCAGGGTGGTGCAAACCTGTAATCCTCAGCACTTGTAGGGCTGCAGCAGGGGGATTGCTGTGTGTTCACAGTCAGCCTGCTGACTGCCTCAGAATGAAAAATTAAAAAAACACCTCTTTAACTTTAACATGTTTTATTTGGAAATGATTTAAAATGTAACGATGGCAAGAACAAAGAAAGAAAACACCATACTGTGTACCTTTACTCAGATTTACCTATGGTTATCATTGTATTTACACTTGCTTTATAATATTCTCTTTCTATACACCTACAGTGTTTTCTTTTGTGGTTTGAATCATTTCATTGTACGTTCTATATGGACATTCTAATCATGAATTAGTCTTCCTTCCACTGATTTATAATTCTTTACTTAAATTCAGCACTCAAACTAACCAGATTTAGCCAGCAAGTTGTGACAGGTTCCCATCAAGTTTTGAAGGACTATTTTCCTTACTAGCAGTATAGTTCATGCTTATCTTGCAGCTATCCTATTGTCGTCCTGGAATTATATTTTCAAAGAGCCCTCATCCTTTTCATTTTAGAATGGTAGCAGAGGCTAAGACCTGGCCATTATGCATGCTTATGATTGGTATGCAGTACTTCTGGATCTTGTCCTTCTTAACAAATACAGGTAAGAAATGTATGCATGAGGTCTGGGGGTGTAGCTCAGGATAGAGCACCTGTTTAGCATGTGTGAAGTCCTAAGTTTGATGTCCACTACCACCCAAAGTGTCCATATATGTATACATATACTAATATATACACATATGAATATGTATATAAACATACATATAAAATGCACATATTTTTAAAGTTCTATGTCTATACTAATAACTTTAATTTCAATTTATTTGCATAGGTTTCTTTCCTGTCTTCTATAACTTAACATCCCATTTCTTCAGCAAGAATGCTAGTTTTTAAGAACATTACCGGGAATAAAACTTGGCAGCAGAGCATGAGGTCATCAGATCAATCCCCAGTACAAAAAAAAAAAAAAAAAAAAGAACATCATTTTCTTAATCTTACGATTATTTAGGAACTGTTTTGCCCATACTACTTAAAAACCAAATCTAAAAAGAGCTCACAATTTCTTTATAATTCTCTTCAACACCTTACCTACTATCTTGTCCAAAGAGAGTACAATTATAGTCAAATATTATGTTTGTGAATTACTTGAGTTAGTTCTCCAGTATGGTTATTATGTTTACATGAAATTCAATTGGGTGTATTTATTTTTTCAGTTTATTTTCATTTTGTTTTTTCGGTTTTTTTGTCTTCTGATCTTTAATGATTTAACTTTATGCATACCAAAAACTGTCCTTTCATTCCTTGTAAGTAACCAATTCATTATTTTCTGTTTTTAATCCCTTTTGCAATGATAAGCAGATAACAGATATAATTCATCTATTTCTCTTTTCTTACATAAAAGATAGCATATGACATACTGTACACTTGTTTATATTGAACATGTCTAGTAATCATACTATCTCAGTTAACAGAGACCTTAGTTATTTTTTTCTCACAGTGATATTGTTAGTACTCTAATGCATGCACGGGTCTTAGTGTATTTAGAATAACTGTTACAGCCATGTGTGGTGGTGCTCACCTGTAATTATAGCACTCAGAAGGCTGAGGCAGGATGATCACTGTGAGTTTGAAGCCAGCCAGAACTACACAGTGAAACCCTGTCTCAAAAAAGACAGTAAATAGGGCCTGCGATTTAGCTCAGCAGCAAAAGTGCCTGCCTGGCAAGCGCCAGGTTGTGAGTTTGATCTCCAGTACCAAACAAATAAAAAGACAATAAATAAAAAAAATGCTGGGTATTTGTGGATTTTCAGTTAGTTTCGCATATTATACAGTTATAAACATTATAATAACTGTATCTTAATACCATTGAAGATTATCTTTCAGATAAATTTCTAGAGATGGGAATGCAAGATAGAAAAATAAGCACACATTTAGTTTTCCAGTAAGCACACATTTAGTTTTCCAGTGCTGCTTATTTTGATTTGTTTTGTTGTAATTCAAAACAAAGTCTAAGTTGCCAGGTTGGCTGTGAACTCTTGGGATCAAGTGAGCTCTCCTCAGCCTCCCAAGTAACTAGGACCACAGGCTTGCCACTGAGTGCAGGCTTGGCATCCTTGATCCTGGCAAATCCCCACCACACTGGTGCTGTACTTTGACACCACCTCGTGTGGCAGTATGTCGATGCCTTCCCAGTCCTGATGCCTCTCTTGGATTTCAAATGTTCACTAGGTACCATTTACAATGCCAGCAAGTTTCTCCCCCCCCCCACCCTCTCTTGTTAATCGGCATGTTTGTTTCACACTTTCCTAATCTTTGGAAAAAAGAAGTTTAAAGAAAAGTCACTTTGTAATTACTTACTGAGTGGAGTTGTGTCAGGAGGTGGGAAATTCTCAGTAAAATTGACATTGCATAAATCTGCGCTACAGCAGCAAAAACGGTATGTTCCATTCTGAATTGAGGAGGGGGTGGTAGTTACCACACATTCTTCATAGTGACACTCCTGGGGATCTCCAATGTGAGACCAACATCCTAAAAAACAGTATGAATGTCAATGTTAGGAGACAATATGATAAAGAAACTAAAAGCACAGGAACTTAATAACCCCAATTAATATAAACACCAGATGCCATAACATGACTTAATACAAGTAATATCAACAAAGACAAAAAATGAGTGAGGAGAACAAGAGGAAGAGGAGAAGGGGAGAAGGGGAAAAAAGGGGAAGAGGATTTTTAAAAAAACAAACAAATAAGCTGTAATACGTACATATCACACTCCCCAAGATGACCATAAACTGCATGAATTCTAAACATGTACTAATAATAAAAACTTAAAAAGTAAAAGGAAAATAACAAAATAAAGACTAATTAACATGAATGTGAGTATATACAAGTTAAAAAAAGTTATTTCCAAATCAATTTAAAAAAACAAAAAAAGCAAACAATACGACTCAAGGAAAAGAGGCAACAACAAAATGTTTAATTGCATCATTACTCTAAAATTTATGAAAGCACCGATAAGGTTACCAATTAAATTGTTCTAGGTTTAAAAATAATCAGTCATAACCAGGATTCACTGACACAAACACCCTCACATACAATCCCAGAGGGATGATAAATGATGGTTCTGGAAAGCCACAAGGCAATTCTTATGTAGGGTCTTAAAATACTGAGATATTTTATAATCTAGTAATTCTACATCAAAGAATCTATTTTAAGGAAACAATCAGATATAAACATCTATGTTTCAAAGTTGGTCACTGCACACTAACTACAGTAAATACTAACTACAGGAAAAACCTGAAAATGACCAATGTTCCTAATGTCCAACATGTATGAGTAAACCATGATAGATGTAAAACAATGAAATGTTGTGTAGACATTAAAAATGTTTTCAGAGACTAAAGACATGGAGAAAACAAGGATATGAAATTATTTATACATCACCCTAATTCTGAAACAAAAATACATGTGTATATAAATCTACAGATACACAGAAAATACACCTGAAGAGGATAAACTTAGAGCATGGAATTTATAGGCTGGGTGTGGTGACACACAGCTGTAAGTGAGCACTCAGGAAGCTGAGGCAGGAGGATCACCCCAAGTTCAAGGGCAGCCTGGATGACACAGCAAGACCTTGTCTTAAAAAAAGAAAAAAAAAAATCAAAACACAGGTACAAATTTCCCTATGGATGAATGTGATGTTTGTGTATATCAAAAGAACACCAATAAAATTAATAAAATAAAAAACAACAGTATGGAATTACAGGCATTTTTAAAATATGTACTAGAAATCAAACTCAGGACCTTGTACACTTGCCAGACAGGTGCTATGCGGCTTAGCTATATCCCTAGCCCAGACTTTTTTTTTTCCTTCCTTCCTTCCTTCCTTCCTTCCTTCCTTCATCTTTTTGAGGCAGGGTCTCACTATGCAGTTCAGGCTGGCCTTGAGCCCACTTTGTAGTCCAGGCTGGTACCGAACTCACAACAATGCTTCTGCCTCAGCCTCCTGAGTGCTGGGATTACAGATGTGAGCCACCAACGACTGGCTGTTGTCTGTATCTTTAAAATATCACTTGAGCATGCATCAACATTATAATAATAAGGATGTTATTAAAATAAACTAAAAAGGTTTTCTTTGCAAACTTTTGTGGCTTATGGGTTGACTACATATAAGAACACACATGTACTTTCAAATGTCCTCCTTCTCTGGGAAGAATTCCTCTCTTTTTTGGATAAGCTTCAATTATATTAAAAAAGTATCTATTTCAGGTTAAGAACAGTGTTACTTGCCTTGTTTTACCAGATTTATGTCGCCTTTTGATTTCTCCCAAAGGCCGTAGCACGTGCTACCTTTTGAACATAATACTGTTCCATTTTCATGAGAGATTCGACTCTCACCTATTCCAAGGTCTTGTTGATAGGGATCTTTAAATGCACATAGCCGTTCTTGATTCTGGGAAGCTAAAATACCAAAAAATAACACAACAATGTTAATTTTATATAACTTTCACAAAACAGTATATAAAATCCTGTTACTTGAGTGCTTTACATTTCCTTACTAAATACTTCAAATTCAAATCTAACTTATTCAATAACTTCCTTCTATGTACTGGTTACTTTGTAGCACACAAACAAGAAACAAATCTTGAAATTCATTTTCCAAAAGCAACCCATTTTACTTAGATTATTCTTAATATTCTTTCTCTCATTAAATACTTCTGGTATGCAAACAAAGCTCAAATAACCTTCAGAAGAAATATACAATCTTAGAAATCTCATGTACTACTCAGTTTCTGTTATATACTCAGTTGCAAGAAGTCATTTAGCATGGTAAACTAAGAATGTAAACAATGACGAAAAAGGACCATGTGCTTTCTTTTCGGAGTGACATTTCTGCTTTAAAATTGGATTGTGGTAATCATGGTTACAAAACTCTACATTTACCAAAAAAGAAAAAAAGTTATGAAATTTTTCACTAAAAATGTGTGAATTTCATGGCAGACTTCATTAAATGTTTTAAACACTAAGGCTACTAGTAAGAAGAAAATGATATTCCATTACTTAAAATATTAATAGCTAGAAGAAGTACTCAGCAGTTCCTTTAAGAGTATACCTAATGTAACTTTAATGCCAGTTTATCTGTCTCCATGCACACATAATCAGACTTAACTGATTTTTATAAACATTTGCCACACTGGACGTGGTATGCACGCCTGTAATTTCAGCACTTGCGGGGCACAGGCAGGAAGATCACTGTGAGTTTAAGACCAACCTGGGCTACATAAATATCAAAGACCAACATGAAATACAAAGTGAAACCCTGTCTCAGAAAAAAAAAGAAAAACAAAACAACAACAACAAAAACCTTTGTAATCCAGGCTGGCCTTGAACTCTAAGCAATCCTCCTGCCTTAACCTCAAGGGCTGGTATTACTGCCGTGCACCATGCCTCAACATTGCTGAGCTATCAAAGATGTAAAGATTATTAAAATTCTTGATCTTTATTTGATTTCTTAAAGTAGAACTTCCTATATGTTTGACTAATCAAGATACTATATCTAAAAGGGATATGACTGATTAAAGGTAATGTTTTTGAACAAGACTAAGAACTCTGGAGAAGAAATAAAGACAAAAAAACTGTGCCTAAGCCAATTTTTATACATAGGCATGCCACATATAATGAAAAGTAATCTGAGTACTATGCTACAAGTAGTAATACAGAGAATTTAGCCGTCAAGCCTCTGACACAGTAATCTATCTTTTTCGTCTTTGTCTTTTTTATTCCTGAGATGGAGTCTCTATGTTGCTCAATATGGTGTTGAACTCATGTATTTAGGTGATTCTCCTGCCTCAGCCTTCCCAACAGCTAAGATTGTGGGAGCTCAAGAGTCTGGCTTAAAAGGTCTATTTGGGTAGACCAAATGAGAGAAAGTAATTAGTAAAAACTAATTATCACTCAATTTTTATACTGTTAAACTACTTTAAGCAGTCTGTTAGAAGACATTTACTATTACCTACTTAAACAGTAAGAATATACAGTGGGGGGCTGGAGGTTTATAGCTCAGTGGCATAAGTGCCTGACTTGCAAGCAGGCAGTCTTGAGTTCGATCCCCGGTACCGATAAAAAGGAAAAAGACCAAAAAAAAAAAAAAAAAAAAAATATATATATATATATATATATATATATATATGGCTTACTTAGGATTTTACCACATTTTTATCACATGCAAACCCGGTGTGGTGGTGCATTCCTGTAATCCCAGCAGGTTGAGGTTGAGGCAGAGGTTGAGGCTAGAGAATCACTGCAAATTCAAAACCAGCCTGAACTACAAAGTGAGTTCATGACCAGCCTGAACTGCCTAGTGAGACTCTGTCTCAAAAAGACAAAAAAACAACAAACAAACATTTTTTATCACATGCAGTCCCATATTCAAATTCCTTTAATAAGCTTATTTATTAGATTACTGTCCACATTTAAGAATGGTATTTCTTTAGGTTTTCACCAAATTGGTAAATTTAACCAATTATTATTAAAGCAGAACTTTGGTAGAAATTGGTAAAAATTAATAGAATATTTCTACAAATAAAAAGTTCTTTCTAAAACAAAAAGAATTAGGTGATTCAAACTACAAGTCATATTTAGGAGACTAAAAGAAAAAAAACTTGTAAATCTGAAAAGGCATCTATCCATGAGATATACTTCCTTCTTCCTGTCACACCCTGGTAAAATGCTTATTTACAGCCAGACAGATGTTGAAGTTATGTGATGATTCTGTTTCCTTTTTGTCGATTGTTGGAAAAGTCAGAATAAATTTATGAACTTAGTATCTCTAATATTCTACAATGAAGATATGATAATTTTACCCCTCCTCTTCTTCTGTCATCCACTTCAACTAATGTTTTGTCCTACTGAATTGATGAGTAGGGCCCTACAAGTACTTAGTAGCAGTTAGACCATAAATAAAGTGCTTTATATAATTTAAAAATAAAGAGAGTTGTATGTTTGTGGAAAAAGAGATAAAAGGTAAAAACTTTTGCTTTTCCTGGATTTCTTTTACAGCTGAAAAGTAGCTAAAGGCCAGGACATATGTGAGGGGAGGAGGGTACATAAATTGATAGAAATCTAAAAATTCTAAAATTATTCATATAAAAGACAAAAGACAAAACCAACTAAGCTGAATAAATATTAAAACAATAAAAATACCATCAGAGAGGACTCAATCGTACATTCTTTTAATCGGTACCAGGGATTAAACTCACAACTGCATGCTTGCAAGGCAGGTGCTTATGCTGCTGAGCTAAATCCCCAGCCCCATATTTTTAACATCAGTTTTCATTAAATTTTTACTTTTTATTCACTGGGGTGTTGGTGTTGAGAAGAGAAATGTGGGATAATTTCTTCCAATCTCCTGTATACGTGTAATTATTTTTAAAATATATTTGAAAGTTAAAAAAATTAATCCAGGTGTAAACATGAAATTATTTTATTATGGGGAATTAGCATAGACTAAGTATAATTTGCTATTTTAAGAATAATCTTTCCCTTGCAAGCAGGCAGTTGTGAGTTCGATCCCCGGTACCGATAAAAAAGAAAAAAGACCAAAAAAAAAAAAATAATAATAATCTTTTCTTTCAGATTATAATTCAGCCAATTTTTATACATTATAAGATTTTCTAGCAAAAATTTACTGGCTTACTCAAATAAACATCTATTTTATAAGCCAGTTTTTAGTTTTTAAAATGCTGTTTGTTATAATCAGTGTCAGCAATATATCTGTATAAAGTTTTGAATTTTTTATAATGAATTGAAAGTATGAATAAAATGAATAGAATTAGAAACACTAGTCTAGAATTGTGTTGATACAAAGATAATATATTATACTGGAAACTAAACTTTTTTCAACCAGAAGTTCATTTGCCCCTCTAACTGGAAAATAAATTAAACCTTTTCATGGCTCTCTAGAAATACTGTGTGCTTAGTCCCTCCCCTGCTGAGACTGACTAGAAGTCAGCCCTTGGAGCCAGCTCTCTGTTTGCCATTTGTTTCCCTCCTTCATTCTCACTTCCCCCCTCACACACACTGAAGGCTTTGTGACCTTTATACAACATTCCCCATATCGAGAATGCTATTTTTCCTAAAAAACCTGGGCTTAGGGCCTGGAATTTAGTTCAAGGGCATAAGCCCCTGCCTGGCAAACACAAAAGTCCTGAGTTCAATCCCCAGCACCACAAATAAATAAATAAATAAATAAAGACATAACAATATACAGCAGGCAAGAATAAAAATAACAGACTTTAAAAAAACAAACAACCTGGGCTTGTCTTTAAGATCTAGCTCTGATACCAACTCCTCAGTGAAGTCTGAAGACACTTAGCTCATAGCTATTCTAGCAGAGCATGTTAAAAGCTGTTTACAAGCCCATCTTCCCTCCCCAGCCACAGGCTTACTCCACTCATCTGTAAAGAAATTCCAGGCTCATTTTATTTATTTCGATATAGCACCTGCTCAACAGTTTTCATATGTACAGGTACTGTGCTCAATACTACCTAATTCAGACTGCAAAATCTAAGCCACACAAATCCATTTCTCCTAAAATTCTACTATAAATGAAGGTGTAAAAATTTCCTACTTGTTTGTTTTGAGGTAGGGTCTCACTGGGTAGTTCAGGTTGTCCTTGAACTTACTATCCAGCTAGGGTGGCTTCGAATTATCCTTCTGGCTCAGCCTCCTGAGTGCTGAGACCTCAGGTATATACTACCACACTCAGCGAGTACTTTGCTTTTTGGTATAGAATTTATTATTTCTGCCTACATGTATAAGCACTGTATTGAGAATAAACAGTTATTTTCTTTGTACGCATACATCCTAGATAAGTACTTATTAACTATATGCTGAACTTTATTCATAGGAATGGACGAGCATATCTGAAATGTCCTACATTTCCTACCAGTGATATTAAACTACCAACAAAGCTGAGTGTAAGCAACTATCTGGCATGGTTTCATCCTTTCTTTTTTTCTTTTTCGGGGATACTGGGAATTGAATTCATGACCTTACACTTGCCAGCCAGGCACTGTGCTGCTGAGCTATATCCCTGGTGGTGGTGGTTGCCTTATTTCTGTATCAGTTAACTATTATAATCAACACAACATCACCACCACGCTTATAAAGAAAACTACTATTTATTTGCTTCCACAAGGGAGAAAAGAAAATAATTCTTACTATGGAAATACTAACTTGGGCCTGACCTTTTACTCTGTTTTTTAAAAACTAATCAATATTGTTTGAATTTTTAGAAAACATATTCATGCACTATTTACACATTTCAAAAACATGTTTATACCTGGGTTAACTTTTTAACATTAGAAAATATTTAAAAAATAATTACCCATATACAAGAGGTTGGAAGAAATTATCCCACATTTCTCCCAACACCAGTACCCCCAAAACAGTCACTGGAC